GACGAGCGGCACTATCTCAGAGACACCGCCGAGGCAGTGTTGTTGCAGGAAACAGACGGAACAAGATGCCATCCTTGCCTGGTGAACCAGGCAAGCTTTCACACGGAGCATTTCGGTCTATATAAGTTCTAATACACAACGCAAGGGAAAGCTGGACTGGAGATGCACTGATCCTAAGCTCTTTATGTTTACCTTAGCTCTTCTTCCCTACACCGCTCATCGACACAAACAGCGGACGACATGAACAAGCCAAGCGCAAAGAATTATCTCCATGATGAGTGTGGTTATCGTGGGAGCAGGCCCAGTGCGGTTGTCTATCGCCGTCCGTCTCGCTCACGCCGGTATCAAGGTTCATGTCATTGAAAAGAATGACGTCGTGGACAGCTCACCCCGAGCAGCCGATTAATTTGGAGGGGCACTGATAGCGCTCCAGAGAATTAACATCTTGGAGAAGGCCAAAGCTATTGGGTTCTTGGCGGACGGTATGCGCTGGAGACAGCCAGTCAATGCGTACGAAGAAGGTTCTATGGTCCTGGGCCGCATGTTTGCTCGATTCGATTTTCGGAAGGAGGGAATATCTGCCGCCACGGGCCACGTTAGCTCCCTGTAACTGCCTCAGTCCCGATTGACTCAGCTCCTGCTCGACGAAGCCATCTCGACTGGACTAGTTTAAATCCACTTCAACTCGGTCTTGACAAACATCCTGCAGGACGAAGAATCAGTGACGATCATTTCTTTTCCCGCGGCAACACCAACAGCGAAGAGGCCCTCCGGGCCGCGTTTCTCATGGGCTCCGATGGAGGCAGATCGACCATCTGGCGCATTCTCGATATTCCCTTCAAAGGTCACAGCTGGCCAGAGCGACTGGTTGCGATCGACTGCCTCTCTCAGATGCCGCCCGTAGCAGACAACAACACAACATCGTTCATAGTACATCCTATTCACTTCGGCCTCATTACGCCAGTTGAGCCGGTGGTGACAGGCAAACAAACAACATACAGAGTCGTTATAGCATTTGGCCCAGCTGATTCACGCCCCGACACCGAGCTGGCAACGGGGACGGTTGCCAAAACTCTTCTGGACAAAATGCTGCCTGGAAAGTGACCCCTGGACGTCCGCGTCGTCAGATTTGCTCCATATAGGACGCATCAGCTGTGCGCGGCGACCTTTAAGCGGGGAAGATGTGTGCTTGCCGGAGATGCTGCTCATCTCAACAACGTGATTCTCGCCAGTCTCTTTGAAGGCAAACTCTGCTGATGTAGCGATTTTAGCGTTTTGGGGCCATGGGTTTGACCAGTGGCCTTCTCGATGCCGAAGCTTTAGCAGACGCGTTCGAACTCATTATCAATCAGGGACAGCCCCCCTCGCTTTTGGATCTCCAAGCAAATGAGCGACAGCGAGTTGTCCAGATGTTCGCCAATCCAATCACGAACCAAAACAAGCTTCGTTGTGCCGCCGACCTAGCCTCTCGCCTGAGGACCGGTATTCAAGATCACTTCTTGCGCACGACGAGGAAACATTAAAACGGTATGCCCTAGGATTCTTCGAAATTTGGCGCACGGATATGAACAAATTAGCCATCTCATGGGGATTTACTCGGTGATTTTGGGACGTTCTTGCTACGTTCAGCCATCCGACAGAGCAGAAGTTGCTGGTGAACGCTCTCAGGTTGATGTAAATTGATTCCATGGGCCCTTTCAAGGAGTTCTAAGCTCGATGAATCGCACGCATCAGTGCAATAGACATCTACAAGTCGAGCACAAATGCATGATCCAAATGTCGCCATTAGACGCATGAGATATGGAAAGGGACTAAAAATACGGGAACATGTGCGTCAGGTGTTTGCATTTACAGCAACAGAACGTATGTGGTGATTGGCTGCTCTCTAGCTTACAGTGCCGACGTATCTGCCAACATTGTTCAAATGTTCACTCCAATATGCCATTATTTGGCTCGGTTCTTATTCGCCTGATCTTTGAGGTACTTTGGCATTTATCGCGGTTTGGGCGGGCTCTGACGCATGGCATGCAACTCACTCTCGAAGGTTGTCGAACAAGAGTCCTCCATTGTGAGACTCCAACCCAGCTTTCTTGCCAGGACAGTCTTGCGGCGTGCACAATTATCATCAGTTGATTGAACTGTGACGGCATGAGTTTGTTGTGGCTTACTTTGCTGCAAACGAAAGCTCTGCCCGCTCCAGCATACCCATGGCCAGTTGATTCGCGGCCTCTTGAAGAGAGACATGGCTCACATCGCGTGATTTGATGATTGTCAAAGCGAAACACACCTCCGCAAGCCGCTCAACAAACTCCAGATGAGTATGTTGTTCAGACTCACAAAAGTAGAAGCACCTTCTACCTGATAATACAGGTTCACTGGTCGATATCTTATGCAATAGCAGCACCAAAAGATTTGCAAGATCTTGCATGTCAACGTGATTTCATACCGTTTAATCTTCTCCAGAGATGATGACCTGACTTCGCTCTAGAGCCGCTCCGATGATTGCGGGAAGTTGGATGGAGTAGCGGTTGAATGAACCAAGACCGAGACCAAAAATCGTCGGAGCCATAACGATGTACGTGGAGACTCCGCAGATTTCATCTTTCTCTACCACAGCAATATCTGTTGTTTGCTGAGGATATCTCTCGAAATATTCGCGATACCTTTCGTAGAAATAGACGTCTTCCTCATCCGACAACGTACGCGATTCAGTGTACCTCTGGGAATGCGGCCGGTCGCTGATGTTGGATGTACCAGAAATGTGCAGGTAGTGCGCGGCTCCCTCAGTGCTTTCCCGATGGTGGCCTAAGCCAGCGATGAAGGCCTCAGCGGAAGCGGTGAGCCGCCCAGCAGCTGTATGAATGACCACTGTTTAAATTCGTTGATCAGAATCCTCAACAAGTCTTGCGCCCGCCTTGGGCCAAATCAATTACCATCAAAATCCTTTGCGATAGCCTACTAGGTCGCCGTGTCGTCAAAGGTCGTAAACTCTACGGGATCAACTCCTATTCGGACCATGGCTTCGGCCTGGCTCTTGTTTCGAACGAGCGCTGAGATCTGCAGCTTTGCATCGTCTTTCTGTTCCGATAAAATAGCAGCCAGTACAGTGCCGCCGCTGCTTCATCAACTTTCAAGCTGTATCGACAACCACAACCGAGCGCTGGAACGCTTGAATAATTGGAATTCCACCTGATACCGAGTCCCGCAAGCGAAAGTCGAAGACATGAACCAAAAAGATCAACCCGGGCAGCACGCCACAATGGTTTAGACCGGATTCCCCCTTGGATGGGTTGTTCGATCGCTTCCCCACCCTATAGACTGCTTCAAATCATGTACGAGTTTCAACGGGCGGGTGATGCTGTCTGAGTCGAGGTCGTTGGCGAGATGGGACGGGATTGATATTCCTGTCCGAGCTCACGGATCAAAGACGACATGGCCCAGGGAACTGGTATCCTTGACAGAGGCATGAAGAGTTGGACGCTGATGCGGTGCATGGCATGGCCATCTTGCAACGGAGATCCTATGGTGGATGTGCTCTCTTTATGGGTGTTGAAGTTGGCACTGTTCCAAGACGCCAGTTGGGAAGCGATTTGTCGTGCGCTGGAAAGTTCATCAGCTCAAATTATTTTTTTTGAAAGTTCAGTTTTGGGTTTAGGAGTCATATTCATGGCCGCCGTGGCTTGTAATTAGCTGGGCTGTGTAGACACTTAATCTTGAGGGGGGTTACAACGCGTGACGCAGACTTTTCCTCCCTCGGCGTTACGTGCCGCTACGACACGATCTGGAAACGAGGAGTCGAGAGGTACTCATGAATTGAATTTACAGGTTTTCGTAGGTAGGCGATGCGACTGCTGTCCCGTGAAATCTCGGCGGTGCACTTCCAGACCCACCAAATGGGACAGATTGGTCTGCCTTGGCAGCAAGCTTCAGACTTACTCATCAGATTGTACTCTCCAAGGTTATTGCCCATGCCAAAATGGCGTCAGTAGATCCTAGGGCTAAAAACCGGCTCAAGAAACCCGATTTCAGCGCTGAATGGTTTGGAGTCGGAGCTCAGAGGCGACGGGCACGATCGAACTTGATGGAGCTCTGCAACGGTCGATTGGCGGCTGTGGCGCAGGCACCACGTGGGACCAATCGGAAGTCAATTTCAAACGAACACCGTGCTGCACACCCTATGGTTACAGTGTGGAGCTTTGCTGTAGGGCTGCAGGGATACAGGGTCCAGGGTGGTGGTAAATCTCCGATTACGGCGTGCGGGGTGCGTGGGGGTCTCAGAAGCTATATTCGGCCCCGACGCCGCTAATCTTTCGCTAGAAGATGCCCGGATCCCACCGACAGCAATGCCAGACAACACAACCCTAGGGACTGGATGCGTTTAACATCCTTCCAGGCCACAGCATTCGCCTCCACAACATCTTCGCCAGGATGACCTCAAGTGGGCTCTGGAGGCCGCACCCACTGGCAAGGCATGCGGCCCCGATCAGGTGGCTGTCGACGTCTTCAAGAAGTGTCCAGGCGTCCTTCACACTCACTTGACGCGTATCATGAACGCGTGTCTCCGGCTGGAATACCACCCAGATGAATTAAAGCGGTCGATAACTGTCGTGCTACGGAAGCCCGACAGGACGGACTTTTCTCTTCCTAAGAGTTGGCGTTCTGTGGCGTTGCTTTCGTGCCTTGGGAAGCTTCTGGAGAGGGTTGTAGCGAAGCGGATTCAGGAGCTTGCTGTGAAGCACGGACTGATCCCTCGGATGCAATTTGGGTTTCCGGGACGCTGCACCACCAAGTAAATTGAGTCTCTTTGATCCCCAGTCTACAGAGGCTTTTGCGTCAAGACCAGGAACAAGAAGAAGTGGAGGTCGACACTACTCAGTCTCGACATATCAGGCGCATACGACCACGTCAATCGTCCCGAACTCCTTCGGATCCTGGTACGTAAGGGCATGCCCGATTGGATTGTCAATTTCATTTGGTCCTTCCTTTCTGACAGGAGGACAATGCTCCGGTTTCCCGGCTATGTCTCAGAGGAGTTCTTCGTTAACACTGGCATTCCTCAAGGCAGCCCCCTCTCTCCCATCCTCTTCGTCTTCTTCTCCGCCCCGATGCTAGAGAAGTTCGAGCGGCTCCATCCCGATCTCAACATCTTCGCCTTTTCTTACGTCGACGACTCTTATATCCTTGCCACATCCAGGACATTTGGGGAGAACCGCGAAATTATCGAGAAGTATCACGAGCAAGTCATGGAATGGGCAACTCCCAATGGCATTCGGTTCGATCCTGGGAAGTACAAGGTGATGCACTTCACCCGTAACGAGAAATGCGACTTGTACCCTCGTATTCCTGGTTTGACCGTCAAACACGTCATCAACAACTCGGTCGACCCCGAGGCCCCCAAGTACCTTCGAATTCTTGGCGTCATGGTGGATCCGGCGTTGAAGTGGGATGCCCACATTGCCAATGTAAGTGACCCATCGCTACTCAATCGTTTCAATTGTCAGAGACTAACTGTTTGGCCTTGCAGCTCGAGTCCAAAGTGAAGAAGAAGTTGGGATTTCTGAAGCGGATCTCTAGCTCCGTCATGGGTCCTAACCTCATCGATATGCGGAGGCTGTACATCACGAGCGTGCGACCCATCATCACCTACGCCTGTGCTTGCTGGTTCGTTCTCGCCGACGGCAAGGGCCAGCAATTCCGAATCACAAAGAAGCTCATCGCTCGCTTGGATCGGCTTCAGCGCGAATGTCTCGTGGAAATCTCTGGTGCCTACAGCCAAACGCCAGTCATGGTTCTGCAGAAGGAACTCAACATCGAGCCGATAGAAGTGGCGCTCCACCGAATAGCCACGGCCCATCGAGTTCGCAACACCAACACTCTGGAGGGGGAGAGGATGCTGAAGGTTGCGCGCCGTCCCTTTCACCGTATGCGGTCCTTTACGTGCTTTGATGTACATCCATATTGGGTGGCATATCAACAGGCTGGGCTCGTTCGCGATGAGATCGTGCAACACTACGGGTTGGAACGTTCCGTCCGTCTGGGGCGAAACGTCTCAGGATGGTTCAATCAGTACCTTCGCGAACAGGGTGTTCTCAGGAGCGCCTATCTCTGGGCAGAGTTCGCTGAAAAGCATGCTCTCAAAGCGCCTCGAACATGCGGTTACGAGGCGGTGACTTACATGGGAGAATGGTGCACCAACATTATGAGCATTCACATAGGCAAGACCAGAGCTCAGTCAACCATCCTCCTCCACATGAGGACTGGCCACAATGGCCTCAACGCGAATCTGTTCTCCATTAACGTAAGTGAGCCCCCAAATTCCCGTCCCCCCGGCCACATTGCTAATCGTCTTCTTGCAGAGAGCTGATACCAACATGTGTCCCTGTGGCGAGGGCGAGCACACGGTGGAGCATCTCTTGTTCGACTGTGTGAGTCTGGCACGGCAGAGGAGGGAGTTGTTGCCCGCGGATTACGGCAAATGCGACGATGACCTGCGGCGGTTGAAGCTGAGGTATTTGCTGAGACAGTGCGCGGGCCCGGTTTCGGCATGGGCGTTGAAGAACTTTGAGCTTGAGCAGTTCTCGTGGACGAAGGAACATCTTCCGGTCAGGACCAGGGCTTTTCCGTTCTCGTCTGGTACGAGACATCGTCGTGTATGATATTCCTCTTCGGATAGGACAATGAACACCATGTTTCTCTGTAACCCTCCCCCCACCCTGGGGTGTGAGTGGCCTGTTATTTGTTTGAATTTCTCTTGTATTGGTAAGTTTCGACGCCAGTTGACGATGCGCTTGCTGATGATTTAGGTCTTGGTACACTGCTTTATCCCTCAACTCTGTGAGTACGCGTCTCTCTTTTCTGTTTGTTGCATATTATTTTCCTTCCTTGCGCCGCTTCCTTTCCGGGTTTCGCCCGCCGTTTCGCCCGCTGTCTTCCGCCTTCGCCCGCCATGTTTGTCGACCACCATCTACCTCCGCCTGCCATCCCCGTCCAATGCCTTGGACCACGAACTTTGTCGACCATCTTCGACTACCATCTTCCGCCATCTTTGTCGACCGCTCAACCACCATCCTCATCCGATACCTTCCGCCATCCTTGTCGACCACCACCTTCACCCTCGTCTGCCATCTTCGGCAACCATCTTTGTCGAACCTCATCCGCCGTCCCCATTCAACACATTCTTCCGCCACCTTCTACGACCTGTGTCAACCGCCACCGCCACCACCACCACCACCTTCGTCTGCCATCTCCATCAACCGGCCTCATTCGACACCTTTGTCGACTTTTCGGGCACGGCGTCTTCGTCGCCCATCTTCTACCGTCACCTCTCACCGCTGTCGTACACTACCTTTGGCTTTCCTTTTTCATCTGCACATGCACTCATGTTTCCTCTTCATCTTTCAATCTCGTATGAATGCCTCGTCGCTAACTTCTCGTGAGCATAGTCATCCTGCCCTTCCTACGCGATCTGAGCGATCGACAAGGCCCTCAGCAGAGCGGCTCTGTAGGCAGCATATTCATCGTGAGTATACTGAACTCTACAACTTATGGTGCTGTCTAACATGCTCAAGACCCTGGAGAGCCGTGACGAGATCCCGCTCCGTCTGATCCATTACCCCCCGTCGACACTTCCTATAGGCCTGGTCCAGAGCTTGAGTCTGTGAGTCTGTTAGCCGCAGTCCAGCCTGCCTCTGGAGGCGGGCACCGAAGACGAACATGGGTGAGTACCTCACTGAATCAGATGATTGTATCTTTTGATGTAGCTGATATTGATTTCTCACAGCGATGGTATCCCTGGTGCCGAGCCTAGTGGTGCCTGCAAGGAACCCTTGCACTCCTCCCAACCGGAGCCTTCGCATACCTCGAGCAGCCGCTTGAGGGTTGGCATACACGGCGCTCTCTGGGTCGAAGTTGGTAAGTGCACATTTCATCTACCTGAATGCGACAGTGTCTAATTATTTTCTAGTTGTTGAAGTTGTCAAGTTGTTGGTCTGCCATTGTGTTGTTTGATGGATGCAGAGTACTGGCTACTTACCTCACTGCTGCTTTCCTTATATAAGGCAAGGTTCCTGTAACCTTGGTGGCCGAGGCTGCCATGGTAAGTCCTAGTCCCTGTTCTCTCCGTTGGGTGTGATGTTGACTGACGTCCAGGCAGAGGAAAAGTTATCGTACCTTGTTTACCTCGTCTTCGTCTCTCTCGAGACCTCTGTGTCTTCCAGTACTGAGTATAGTACTTCTGTGTTCACACCTTGGGTTATATCTATTAGGGTTGCTTGGTCCTTTTCCATATCTGTACCTTGCTGTATATTGTACCTCGGCTATAAATGTGATACTCCACATCAATCTTTTGGCTTCGTATGTGACGCGTTTGTTAGCGCGATGCTTATCTGACGACAGAAAGGGAGCGGTGGCAATGGCCGTGGCGATGGCGGTGGTGAAGGAGCTGGTTCTGTGGCGCTTGTATGCTGTGGCGGTGGGCAGTGTCAGTGGGAACCTTGCTGGCTGGTGACCTGTGTGGCTGAACTTGGTTTTGGAATAAATACCCTGCCCCTCCCCGCTCCGCCATTCCGCTTTCATCCAAGCTTCTGTCTTGTCTTTCCCCCCAGAAACACCACTCATGCACGCCTTTATCACAGCTGGCCTTACCCCAAGATGGAATGTCGTTTCAACCTCCTGCAACTCCCTTTGGAGTTGCGACAAATGATCTATCGCGCCTATTTGCTCGTCGATGGCGGGTATATCTGCGATGCTGAGGCGCTTTTCACGGGCAAGCTCCGGGGTGTGGCCAAGTGCAGGCTTACGCAAGCCGATGGAAAGCCCATCGAAATGGCTCTCGTTATCACCTGCCGGGCTGTTGCGAAAGAAATGCTTCACGGCGGGTTAGCCTTGCGCGTCAACACGGTGGCTTTCTCGACCTTCTATTCTGATGAGTTCCGCCAGCTCGGTGAAAGACTCCAAGCTTTCAGGAGCAAGGACGTGGACTGCAACATATTCAACATGATGAGGAACGTTGGCAGCTGCCTCCAAGGCCCAGTGTACGATGCACTCAAAAACGCCTACCCGGTTTTTATGCCTGTCGTGGAGCATTTGAGGGGCGGAAACCCGAACACGGACCTCGTGGCGCCTCCGGATTCGAATTATGGCCAGGCGCCTTCGCTATACCGGGAATGCGTTAGACTCGCCCTCCGGCTTGCGTGTCGCTACTATGTCGATCAATTCAACGAGGCAATGAGAGAGGACTTCGCCATCCAGGAATCGTATGGTCGGAGGTATGTGCCTGATTATCACGGCCTTGCTGCTTGTTCCATTGAGCCCTGGATTATCCCTACGGACGACGATATTGCACAAATCATGTCGTACAACGGTTGGCCAGTTCCTTCACCCGATGATGAAGACTTCGAAATCCATCTTCCAAGGTCAGATGACCGCTCAAAATACAGGTTCTCCGCCGCCGCGTCTGCCATCTATTTCCTGGATTCCTTACCTTATCACAACCGGGCGCATCTACGTAACATAATTCTGAACGAGGACCGAGAAGCCGTATCGCAACCGGCATGCCATGTCCAAGGCCTCATTCCGTTCTGCAAGGAGAACCCTCTGCTACGGATTGAACGGAGATGCAGCTTGTGGGGTAACGTCTTTCGCCCAGATTGGTTATCCGGAGACCCCGACTCTAGGGTCGATCCGGAATGGGTACCAGACCCAAAGCTGAGGTCAAGCCAAGTCTCTCGAAACGTAGCCATGTGGATTATGGAGGCTCTGGCCCTGGAGCACCACGGCATGCCCCACGGCGCGTTTTCCCTTCTTCTCGACGGCGGCCCGGCACCTCAGCTGTGCGAGGAGATATTCCAGACCGTCGTCCAGCGGGACGTGGCGTGGCAGCTCGCCAGGGACGAGTCCCGCCGGCGCGGCTACCTCCCGGCCCGGACGTGGATAGAGAGGAATGGAGAACACCCGTGGCGACGGTCCTCCCACTACAGACCCGCCGAGTCCGACCATGGATACATCTACGAAGGGTTCCCGCGGGCCATGAGAGACGTTGCGGAGAAGAAGTCGGTCGTGCGTTGCAACTTCGACGTGGGCGTGCCGTGGGACGTGGAGCGGATCGTCGAGGAGCGCCGCGGCCGCGGCGAGCAGGAGTGGAACGAGGACTGGTTCGCGCACGACCCGCTTAGCTGGGAGACCGTGCCGCCTCTCCCCAGTTGGGCCGACTGTCTGCGGGAGGACGTCCTGCGTCCTGACGAGAATCCTCCGCCAAGAAGAGATAGTTTCGACGAGTGGCTCGACAGGTGGGACGAAAGTTCGGACTCGGACGATGACTGGGCTTTGTGAGCAACGGGCGGGAGAGAAAGTTGGGCTGTGAAGCACCGCAGATCAGGCTGTATTCATGCCGCCAATGTGAAAGCATGCGGCCTATCTTTGAGAAAGACGGTTAGCCAGGAACTGGATGCGACATTGTCAGCCAGCCGATCGGACGGTCCGCCGCCTCTCGATCTTCGGCGCTAACTTCGCAAGGGTGAATTTTGAAATCACAAATCTGGACGACATTACTGCGGGAGAAATCTGCTTCACCAGGAGTGCTTTTCACCTTTTGTTGTTGTTGTTTCTTTTGTCTTGCGCTGGAAAGTCAGTCCCAGTAAGTGTCACAAATCTCGTTAACAGCCAAGGTAGAAATACAAAGTAGTCGCGGCCCTCAACCGATTTGCTTTCTATCTCAATTCTCACGGTGGAATACTCGGCAATGTCGATGATGTAAGAATCTCGTCTTGTGTCTTTCCATTGATTTTGCGCGCTAATTCTGTCCAGAACTCCGAGCCTGGAGCGCCTCCTGAAGCCCCAGCCGCAGGGAGGGCAACTCCGGGCGCGTCTCCGTCATGGCTTCAAGTGTTTTCTATTTTTGGTCCCAAGGAGTGAGTCAAGTCAACCTTTGCAAACGTGACTTAAATCTCAGCCTGTAAGTGGATGCGCTGTGATATATAGGAGAATTTGCTGATGGTGCCGTCCTTGCGGAATCATTTGCAGTGATTGGGCTCAGAAAGGTCTGCAGGCTTGACGAGGCGGGCTCGTCTGACCACATTTAGCTTGGATCTTTGCCCGGCTCCATATATGGGCGATGCGTGTGAAGCCAGATTGCGCATTATTCTCGGGCTCGATGTGGTGGCGTCTCAGAAAATGGCCTCATGTGCAAAAGCATGGCTTTTTGGCCGCTACAGACGCTGCAGCCACATCTGTTTGGGTTTGCTTACCTGCCTGTGCATGACGTAGAATAGACAATGTTGTAGTGAATGTGTTACCTGACCTGTCGTCAAACTGCCATTCTCGCGTGTTCAACAACGCTCTCAGCTGTGTTGGGTCAAGCCATGCCTATGCCTCCTTAGTGTCATCGCAAGGTTGACACGCTGTAGCTCGAGAATCCATTTCTGGGACTGGCTGCTCACACCTCGCAGGTAAAAGGAATCGCTCAAGACGCTTCTGACGTTCTCAGTTGAAGATCACGTTACCAACTTGAAACTGCGGGCTGATTAAAGTTTTCCTGTGTCGATGCCACCTGTTCAGCTTACCTTTCTGGACATTGGCGTTTACGTGGACCCGAAAGTTCTGGTAACTGCTCAAATCAGTCTCATGGGAGGTAGAAACCAACTTTTACAGCTCTGAAAATGTTATCTGTCTGATTTACACCGTGGTAGCGATGCAAGCACACTGCTGGGCTGAAATACATGGCGGCGTCGCTACGTTTGAACTACTCTGTGCTGTACGTATGAGCATGAAACAGAGATTGATATCAATGGCGGGGGACAAGAATGTAATAAGACTCTTTCAACAGGACCTCCATTTTCCTTCAACATCTATCACGCTCGTCGAAACTCCTGGACGTTTGAGGGAGTCTATCGGATGGGCAATCAATCGCGTAACTCATCTCAAGACCGACACAGGTTAAAAGAATGGAGCTTGCTGCTCAATTTTGTATTTTAGTATTCAGCAACTTGAGTATTATGGGAGATTATGAAGGACTTTGTCAATCACCCAATCTGCAGCCAAATGATATGATGGTCTCCGTGGCAACGAGCCTTATCAACATTGAGCAAGTAGTCAGTCTCCCTGGTGTACCTGCAAACGCGTCCCCTGTGCGTTTCGTTTGGTTTTTGCTCTCTGCTATATTGCGATCATGTCTACGAATCATACCACAGCAGTACATCAAAATAACTACCCTCTGTGCACCCAAACAAAGAGAGACATCTGCTCACCCCCTAACGATACACCACACGCTCTTTCAGCAAACCTCCACCTCTGATTCAAATGCTCCACAACCTCCAGAGACTTCACAACCACCAAAAGAAAAGAAACCCAACCTGCCCGGACAACACCTTGAATGGGACCGTGACCAAATACAACCCACCGTCCACCACCACCCCCGCGCACCAAATCCCCTCGATCTACCAGCTAAACATACTCATTATATATGCACCCCTTCCAGCAGCAAAATTAGAATCAATCAACTTTGCAGAATAGGCCAACGTCTGCATCTAGACACAAATTCATTAGAAATCTGTGCAAGATCAAGTTGACTTAAACTCCAAAACAGCCCAACAACAGCCCTGATTTCTTACAAGACTCCACGGAGCGATTGCGTACGTGCTCCTTTTTATATCCAATGGTATGGGGACCTAACTAACTCGCTGTTTCATTGCTCAAGATCAAAACATCAGTAGCTTGAAGAATCCTTGGGGGCGACAATACCTCTTAGTCCCACTCGTTCTGTGTGCCAAGGCATCCCTTCTTTTCGTTGTCTTACCTGAATGATGCACGAGTGTTCGAAATGTCCCAGTCACAACTCGTCAAACATGAACTTCTCAACAGCACCATTCAAGTGTTTAATTCAACGCAAATGTCGTATTCTCACGGGAATCTATCGCGCTCTACTCTCACAGATTCTCTAGAAAACAAAGACAAACTCCTCATTTTGCAAATCAGTCAAATTCTCAAACGCCCTCGCGCCAACATCACCGGCC